CCGGACCCGTCCGGGTCCCGACGGCGTGGGCGTGGATTCCTCGATATTTTCCTCGCCTTCCGCCTCTGGTTGTTGTGTGTGTGTGTGTGTGTGTGTGTGTGTGTGTGTAGTGGGGAGCAGTGGTCATGAATCTACATTTTCCAGGCTGAGTTGGAGTCCCTCTAATAGACTGTGCCCTCACTGCCCTCTGTACTTCCCCTCACCAGGCACTTACCACACAAGTGGCTGGTCATCTTCTGGCTCCCTGTTAGCTCGCAGGCTCTGCCTAGGTCACCTTGATATCCCCAGGATCTAACACAGAGCAGAAGCTCTACAAATGTTTGTTGGATGGAAAAAAAGTCCAGCTCCTTCTTGGGTCTTCCTTCTCCTCCCCAGCCCACTCCCTCCTTCCACTAGGTGAGCTGGGGCCATTCCACCCCAAGGAGCACACTTCTCCCAGGGGAGACCCTCACTGACTCAGTGGGCATGTCCTCTCCCCAGGTGAGCACTGAAGGTGGGCACAGGGGGCTGTGAAGTGCCAGCTCCCTTCAGAACTGGGCCGGGAGAGAATGTGCTGTGAGGATCATTCACACTTTGGTCATTACCAGTATCAGCATCTTCCGGTTTCACACAGGAGTGTTTGAACCTGTGGACATTATTAGAACATTCCAGAGCTAGAACCAGATAGCTAGTTAGTGGCAGAAGCAACACTAGGATCCAGTGGCTCTAGTTCAGTGCTGGAAGAGTCAGATGGGGGAGAAGAGAAAGCCAAGCAGTCACTCCCAGCCTGGGAAGTCATGAAACTGAACATACCTCACAGCCAGGGCCCAGCTTTCTGTTCAAACTTTAATCCCTGAAAGCTCATGATATGGGGGGATGGTAAGAGCTTGGGGGGCTGCCAGTCAGATTGGTTATAAGTATGAGCAGTTCCTTTGGACAGACAGCTGTGAGGAGGGGAATTGCTGGACCCACCCCCACCTATTTGGGGTGTCTCTACGTTCACTTATCCACAGAGCCTGTTTGTCCCCATTCTCCCCAAGGTGCTATCCTACTGATGTACCCTCCCCTCCCCTCCCCGACAATGTGGGCACATGGATTTGTGGGCATGTGGATTCCACATATTAGGAATGGGTTTAGATTCAATACTCATTGAACTAGATGGATAATTGGATCCATTTTCTATTCAAAGTGGATAGACATGGGACAAGAGGGCTCTTTTAGGAAGAAAGCAAAAATTACCCATAGATCCACAAAACTCCACATTTTCAGTATTCCATTTACCTCCTAGGATGGTGAGTAAGTGTATCAGTTACAGGGGTAATGGGCTGACCTCCAAGAAAAATCAGTGGGTAGGTCTCGATGGTGGTCAACTTGAAGACTCTGGACATGTCCATTGTACTTCTGCTTTCACTCACCAGTGGAGTTGGGCAAGGCCCAAGGCACACAAAGAGAAAAACCCTCAGTGTTTGCTGCTGGCTTGACCCCAGCCTGCGGTGGGACTGTAGTCCTCTCAAGGAAGGGGTGGCAAGACTAGGGATGCTGGGAACAGTCTGAACTCCAGCCAATAATTCTGTCTCCAGAGCCTTTGACCAGCTGGAGGGAAGGTGTCCAGTCCTTGGTCTAGGACTGGGGGCGGGGCAAAGTTTAAGGCTGTTTTGGTTAAGAGGCATGGAGGAGAGAACCCCACCCAATCCTTTTTCTTCTCAAGCTCCTCATCCTCCTGAGGAAACCCATCTGGAACTGGTTTCCTCAGGCCCAGAAGGGGTACAGTTGGGCTGGGTCCTGCCTGGGCTTTGCAGGACGGCTGGGGGCCTGACCTGTCCTTTTCTGGACTCACATCATCTGAGGTGGAGCCAGGACATCGGGGGAATGATGCTGATACCAGCCTCCAAAGCTGTTGCCATAGCCACCGGTGGGCAGGGCCCCTGCCTTGGGTAGATCCCAGAGGGATGGAAGGGGTGGGGAGCAGGGAGACAGGGAGGGGGACCTCCCAGAGAAGTCCCCTTCCTGTCCCCCTGAGTTCTGCTTCAGGAGCTTCTTGTACTTGGAGCGTTTGTTCTGAAACCAGATCTTTACCTATGGGGAGGAAAAGGGGACAGAATGGAAGGTCAGGAGGAGTGTTTGTGTGGAAGGGTATGACTCAGGGAAAGGGATCCCGCAGGAGGGAGTTGTCCCGGGAAAAGGGCAGAAGTTGGGAACACCTGCTCCAGTCCTCCATAGCCCCTAAGTTCCTACCTCTGAGTTAGTATCCAGTTCTCCCAGTCTGGGTACCTCCTCTATCCACTGAATCAACCCTCTACCTACCCACCCTACACCTTTTAACACATTCCCCCAATTTACTGGGGGCCAGCTATGAACACCCACCCTGAGAACTGTGAAAATAGGGCTAGGGGGCTCATCAGTCATTCACACCTGGGAGTGAGTTTCCAGAGAACACACACGAGGAAGGTTAGCGGGCAGAAAGGATGGGACTGGCCCCACCTGTGTCTGGGTGAGGCCGAGCTGCGCAGCCAGCTGGGCCCTCTCGGGCAGCGCCAGGTACTGCGTGTGCTGGAAACGCTGGTTCAGGTGCTGCAGCTGTAGACTCGAGTAGATGGTCCTCGGCTTGCGGAGCTTCTTGATCGGGGCCTGTGGGCGCCGCTCCGAGGGCTCCGGGGACAGCGGCGGCTTCTCCGATTCTGGGGGCAGCACGAGACGGTGTGTGCACCGTGAGAGGGGAGGGCGCTCCAGCTCAAGGGCTCTTTTGCATCTCCTTTGCATTTCGGCCAAGGGTTAGCAAAAACTCAGGCGCGGGGCTCAGCCCTTCACTACCTTCCGCTTCACCCTCCTCCTTTCAAGCCCCGCGTCCACTGTGAGCAGTTCTTGCCCTCGGGGCGCTCCCACTCTTAACGGTCCTGTGACCCTGGGAGGACAGCAAAGGCCAGAGCGAGGGTAGGGGCGGTGCCCGCGGCGGGGGGCCAGAGTTCAGCCCCGAGCGGTGGCGCCAGCTTGGGGCGGGGCGGGGCAGAAGCGCTGGGACGAGGGCTGGGCTGAGAGGCCCGTAGAGGATGGGGGAAGGGCGTTCCACGCGAAGGGAACTCCAAAGCACAGTTCAGAGGCCCGAGACAGTGTCTGCGTGGCAGCCTCCCTGCTGCCAGTAGTGAGGTGTTCGGAGGGGCCCGGCTGAGTGGGCCTTGAACGCCAGGATGAGTACCCCTCCCAGCATCAGTGGGTGGAAAGTGCCCCAGGGTTTGCCATCGCCTCCCCTATTGTAAGGGCCCCCCTCTCCTGAGGCACACCTTCCAAGACCCGCTGGCTAGAGAAGTCGGCTTTCTGGGGCCCTAGAAGCCCGGTGGGCGCAGGGCAGTCTCCTCCTCCGCCCGGCCGGCCGCACTCACAGAGGAGTTCCCAGCTGGCAGGGAAGGTGACCCGGGTTCGGGGAGTGCGCAGCGCCGGCCCTCCGGGCGGCTCCTGGATCGCGCGGCGATGCCGCCGCGGGGATCTGGCTACCTCCTGAGTCCGGGCTCAGCCTCTCGAGGAATCTCAGCGGGGGAACGGCCCCGCCATAGGATGGGGGGGGGTCCCTCTTCGGATCCTAGCGGCCCCAACCTGCGCCACTCAGCGGAGACACCTTGGGACTATTCCGTGCAGATGTCAGGGCTGGGGTAGACAGAGCGGCCGAGATGCCAGTCGGCTTCGGGCAAGATTCGTCTCATTCCTCGCGGGCCTGCCAGCCGACCTCAGCTGACGGAACGCTCGGCTCGGGTGCCTAGACACGGTGGGGGTCCGCCTGCGTCCCCCACTCCACCTTCAACCCCGCCTTCTTCCATGGGTCGGGCTCACCCCTCACGTCAGGTTCTCCGCCCTCCGCCGACCGCACTGACCCGTAGCATTCACCTCCCCCGCATCCCTCACCCGTGGCCCCGGGCCCTGCGGGCTTCTCAGATCCACCCCTGCCGACCCCCACCTCAGCCAATTCCCAGAAAAACTGTTGGGTTTCCGCTGCCGCCCGCGCCTGTCGGGCTTCCCCTGCTTCGACCCTACTGCTCGCCGCCCCGGGCCGCCGCCGAGCGACTACCCGCGCCTTTCTGGCTGCGTGGACTGAGCAAGTCGCAGAGAGCCAGGGAGCCTGCCCTGGCTACTGAACTCTCAAAGCCCTCCGCGCCCTAACTCTCCCAGCGGACCCCTTTCTAAGTTCCTTTCCCGACAGCTGCTTTTCTCCACACCAGTTGCAGCAAGTCACGACTGGATCTGCCCAGGTCGCGATTCTAGAGCCGAAGGGCGTCCCTTGAGGCGGCTCCACGCCTGCCTGCTCATCTGGGTGGTAGCACGCATCTCACTTGGAGCCAAACCTCTCCCTGAGGCCGGGGTCGACATGAAGTGGGGGCAAAAGGAAGACCCCTGAGCCCTCTCTCACATCCCATCATTTAATGTAGAGTGAGCCAAACCCATTAGTTTCAGCAGAAAATTGTTACAGTCTAGTCTAAGGACGTGCAGTTTTCGCTGGATCGGGGAAAATTCTGTAAAGGAAAGAAACCCTCCACTCTCTGAGCCTTAGACCAAGAAAAGGAAAGGCAAGAGTGTATAAGACAGGACTGAAAATAACCACCTCAATTCCAGCAATTCTCTTGGATAACCTTGTCCTTAAGAGAATAAGGAATACCACCCACTAAAGAGATACACAGGCACACACTAATGTATCACATTAGCATATATTGAAGAGAAGAGGCCAAGGGATTCGTTTTTTAGAAACTAGATCATTTGTAGTTCTCCTCCCCTCCCCCTAACTGCTCCTCCTCCAGCAACAGACCCAGCAGGGGAAAGAGGCAGCCCCAGTTCTGGCACAAAAGGCAGTTAACTTTTGGGGGCTTTGAGGAAGTTCCCTAAAATCCTATTCTCTGGCCCCAGGCAGTGCAAGTCAACTTGTAAGGGCCTACCCTGGAAAACAGGCTATATTCTTGACCTATGCATGCCTTTTCTTTGGACCTCAGTTTGCTCATTTGTACATCAAGAAGGTTGAGCTCCCAGAACTCTAGGGTCACTTCTGGCTCTGACATTTATGAGCTCATATGTCTCAGCAGAGCAACAAGGGAAAAGAGGCGGACATCTTGTCCTGGGCTGACTCCAGCTAAGTTGTCCAGTGAATGTGCATCCTTGGAGGAAATTGTGCCAAAAACAATTGTCGGGGCAATTAGCTGGGGGCTGGGAGTGCAGGGGAATTGAGGTCTAAGCTCAAGCCAGTATAGATGGGTCTATGTATAGTGTTGCATGGGTACTGTTCCTTCAAGGCCCAGGACCAGGAAGGCACAGCTTCCTGGCTTCTTTGAGGCCTTCCAGTGAGTGCTTTCTCAGGAGCTCAGAGTTGCTCCAGGCAGTGGAACTGGGGCCTAACCTACCCCAAAGGTAAGGGGTGGAGATGACAGGAACGGCCAGTTCCTTTGGCTGGAAGGCTGAGATCCACAATGAGAGAATGCCTGACCCAACTGTGGCTACATTCTTAGAACAATGGGTAGTAGGGTTTTAGCCCCAGTTTCTACCAGGTCAGTTTTCCGAGTTGGTCTGACACATCCGACCCGCTGATGAGAAGGGGAGGTGCCCCCGAATAAACCCCCACATCTGCCCTCCACTGTGACCTAATTTCTAGTTATCAGGCTTTTTGGCTTGAGCACTGCTTTCTGAGACAAGAACACGGAGAGGGGCGACATGAAGAAGGGAAGGAGTGCACGATGCAACGAATCCTCTGGAAGGGGCTAGGCACCTACACCCACATCTGGATTGTTTCAGTTTTCCGTTACAAGTTGGTACACAACTCCTGCTGCTCCAGGGGGTTGGGTAAGGAGCCCTGCCGCCCGGCTTCACACAACTGCAAATCGAAACCAGGTCGGTTTGAAAGGAGACTTAGATCAACTCGCCCCCGCCCCTCCTTCCCCTCTCCCGCCCCATCCCTTCGCCCTCCCCCCACCCCCAGATCCCGTGGAATCTGAGTAAGGTCTGAATCTCTCCAGCTGCGCCCAACCAGGGGAGGGCGAAGTTCAGGGGCTCACTGGATCAGGACCCCAGACCTGGGAAGAACCGCTGCGGCCCGACTTACCTGCCTCCCGCTCTTGCTGAGACGGCAGAGACTGCGCCGCGGGTAGCTGGTAGGGCAGGTAGGGGTCTCCGGGGGTCGCTGGCCCGGTGTAGGGATAGGGCAGGAGGTGGCCATATGGCCTGGAATAGGGCAAATCGGGGGCGGCTGCGGTTGTGGGGGACAGGCCGAGCTGGTAGGCAGCCACTACCGATGGGACGGGGGCGATCTCCGGGAAGACGACTTTGGAGGCGTCTGGGCCAGAGAGGGGGCAGGGCAAAGAGGTCATTGCGGCCGGAGCCGAGGCCGAAGGGCCTAGGCCATGGCCCCGCACGGAGTCTGCTCTCTCAGCCAACTCTCTTTTCCGAGCCTCGGGCGTTGGGGCCGGATGAGCCCCCCAACCCAGCCTCCCCCACACTTGTCCGGGAGAAAGTGTCTTTCTGAGCCTCTTCTAGCAGAGAGCGCGCGCCTGGGAAAGGGGTTCCGGGGGGTGCCCCCCATGGCTTTTCCCCTCCCCCCTAAATTCATGCCCCCCCAATTCGTTCTTGGGTTCGGTTCCCGGGACCCGACGGGGGTCCCCGCCCACTTGGACGCCGCGGATTGGTTACCGCACGCGGTGACCTCACGGAGGCCTGCGGCCGGGGCCCGCCCCCTCAGGGCAGCCAGGGGTAGAGAAATTCGGAACTGGGAGATGGGAGGAGAGCGGTGCGCACGCTCCAGGCCCATCCAGCTCGGGTTCCGCTTCTTGAGGGGTGCCGGGGTTGCAAGGAGATTAGGGCAGTCTGGCCGAAAAGCGAGGGAGTTGACGTGGCCTCGATGCCCCAGTGGCAAGGCGGCTTCAGGAACGCAGGGAACCTGCGGTCGCACTCGCCGATTCTCAGGGATCCGCGCCGCAGCTGTGATCCCGCCGCCACGGACTTTCAGTCCGTGAGTCGAGACCAGCCCGGCAGCTTATTCAGCGCGTCGGAATGCGTCGCAGGCAGTTTGTTGGTAAACAGACGCCAGGGCAAAGGAGGTACCGCCCGGAGCCCAGCCTGCCCCGCACGCGCGCGGCGCGCACGCCCCAGCGGGGCGCCCTCGGCCTGGCATGCGGCGACCGCAGCGACTGCACCTCACCGCCCCCCGTCCTGACTTCCGCTTCCGGCAGGGGCCCGGGTTTGGTTGCGACACCACAGCTTCTGCAGGCCCCCGAGGCCTCCGGAGGGATCCGGCGTCTGGGCTTCTGCCCGTGCGGCGCCCCGCCTTTCCTGGCGCCGCATGAGGCTGAAGCCCAGCACGAAGCCGGACAAAATCCGGGGGTGGGAGGCAAGTCCAATTTGATGGCTCCTCGGAGGGCGCAGGAAATACAGCAAGCCAGGCTCAGTGGCCACACCTTCCAGTCTTTGTGCAGGGCCTGCTTCTAAACATTAGTACCCAAGACCTTGATGCGCAGGTGTCCACATATACCACTCTTTATGGCGACAGGTACACAAATACATAGAGACTCCATTCAAATACAGCATATACCAACACACAGGTGTCTACACCGATGTTCACATTAACATCCTTCCATGAACAGAGGTTCATTTATGGATCTACAAATACAGAATATGGGCTGTGATGTACACACATTTAGACACCCGAAGATGAATAGCAATACTCCTGAATAAAAGCACTAGAGTTGTCTCTTACACAGACCCACAACTATACAAGTCAAATTGTCAGTGTATACACTTGAAAATACAGAAAACCCAAGCATATCAACATTTGTGTACTTGTACCCATCCTATGAGAGACATCAGTCCACGCATATCTAAGCTGCTTTATATTAGGGGAGGGACAAACCTACAAGTTCTTACAGATTCCCTAGCATGTCCATATACACACCTTCTCTCACTTGAGTGTGTGGACAATTCATGTTTGTATACACATGTGTTCTCATTATCAGGGTGTAGAGTGAAGGCAGCAGTCTTAACATGGGAGTGGGTGAGTAGGAGAGGACAAAGATCAGAGAAAGAGGGAAGCTTAGAAGAGTAAGAGAAGGCACTAGGGGGTGGCCAGGAGAGACAGAAAGATTGATTGGGGTGTGCAGTCAGGTGCCCTGAAGGGAGGAAGAGCAAGTTGGCTTCAAATTGGACTCCCTCATAGAGATGATTTTTTCCAAGAAAACACTCCTCTGGCACCTGGCTCTGAGTTCTCCAGCCTGACGCCTTGGAGCTTCAGTAGAAGGGGCTCTGCGGGGGAGCCCCCTCCTCTGAATAGTTGGAAACCCACTCCCCTGTCATCCAACAGGATATGCAGTGTTTGCTTAGTTGAGAAATGCTATTTCCACATGGGACCACCTTTCCCCCTTTCTTACCCAATTCCAGCCATGCCACCACTTCCTTAGCGGGAGCTAAGAACTTTCAAGGACATATCCTTCCAGACCTTCCTCCCTGCCACACAACAGTACTGTGGTGGGTTCCAAGGACGACATCTCTGCATGCACCAAAGGAAGAGGATGCCCTTCGGGGTGGAGTTGGCTGTCAGGGAAGGTTTCACAAAGGAGGTGCTTTTGAGGTGGAACTTCCTCCCAAGGGCCAAGTACCCAGAATCCTTTCCAAGCTAGACCTAGCAAGAAAGAGCAGGGGTGGCTTTACCAGCAGACCCCTGTACCTGTTGACTTTGGGCATCCTCCAAAGGCGGGAGACCCATAGTGAGAGCCTCTTCTAAGTTCTCACGGGGTCCCCGCTGACCTCATGCAGGATCCTCACCTCCATGCAGCAGAAGGAAACATCCTGCAGCCCTTTAGACTTCATGAAATACTCATAACATCCAAGCCCTCTGATCTTTGCTGAAAACCTATGAAGTAGGTACTGTTATTATCCCCAGTTTACAAACAAGGAAACCTCTCCCTCCATCATCACCTCCCTCTTCAGGGCTCTCTCTCTTCTCACATCCTGGAGAGTGTAGAGCTGGGGCACCTTGTTGGGAAACTTCATGTTCTCCTCAGATGCAGACTCCCCAGGGAGGGTTCGCCTCTGACAGTTGCCACATCTCACCAACCTCGGAGCCTGGGGAGAGAGGAAAGGTGGAAGGGATAGGCATGGGGTTTAGGAAGGGCTGTAAACCGATGTTTGAGCAGAAGTGGGAGACTGCTGGCCTGAGAAGTCTGAGGCCTGGGTTCCCATCCCAGCTCAGCCGTGAACTGGCTGGCTGTAATAACCTGAATCAGCCATTTCCAGTCTCTGAGACTCATTTTATCTAGCAAAATGAGGGAGCTACGCTTAAGACCTCCAAGCTGTTGTCATTTACTTTAGAATGACTTAAAAAAACAAATCCCCAAAAGTAATAAAGCCAAAATGGAGGAGGAGGAGTTGGAGGAGGGGAGGAAGTAAGGTAAGTAGGCAAAATCAAGGGACTATCTCCTGTCACTACCAATACATCAGCCTTCTGCTTGTCACAAAAGCCAGAAGTGACTCTCCCAGTTCTTTCTCACTCAGGTCCTCTCCCTTAGCGGAAGGGGCCCACTTGGAGAACACCTGTCAGGGCCTGGGAGCCGCCAGCGGGGTCCCAAGTTGAGGAATCAACCGTGATCTCAGGAATCAACCGTGGCGCGGTGAGTGAACATGAAATATCTGCGCGGTGCACGGCGGTTTGCAGGCTCTTTGCAGTCGCCTTGCAAACGCAATCCCACCGGATCCCGTAAGGATGCTTGGCGCAGAATCAGCGCCCTCAGAGGTGGGAAGTATGTTCACTCGAAGACACCCAGAGTTCGGACTCTCCCTTGAAATCAGGAACTCCCTCCGAACGAGTGCCCCTTCCCGACTCCAGACACTCGGTGGGTACAGGGCTCACTGCACAGTCCCTGGGCTCGTAGGGGGCGAACAGCGCGCGCCTAAGCAAAGGAGGGTGGGCGTCTGCGACAGAAGCCAGGCGCTGGGGTCTGCAACCCGCTGCAGGCTCTCCACACAGCACCTCTATGGTTCTGCCCTGGGGAGCAGTTTTCACCGTGACCCCGGTCCAAGGTCCTTGGCGGCCATTGCGGGATTATCCGCTCCGTTTCTCTTCCATCCCACCCACGGTTCCTAAACGAAATTTTAGTTTAGTTTCATCTGCTCTCTGTGGAATTTAAGTCCGATTTGGCAGGGCTTCCGTAGTAACTCGGTTTGGGGAAACTTTGCAAATTATTCGGTTTGGTGGAGGTTGGGGGAGGTGAAGAATCCTCACTGCGTTGGGCCGGGAGAGCCGTGGTAAAAGCCCCCCACCTTCGGCGAGGCCGGGGAAGGGGCAGTCTGTAGAGGTCCACGTGCTCTGCCACACGCATACTGGGATTTAACTTTTCCTGAAATGTGGATGGATTATTGCTGCTTTTCTTCTTTGTGATGAAGCAGTGAATGGGCGCTGGCGCAGGTGGCGCGGCGGGCTGGCTCCTGAGGTCACTGCCAGCCCCGCCGCTCTCCGGGTGCGCTCACCTCCACGCTCCCACAGAGAGCTTTCGCTGTGACTGGCGTTCCTGCCTCATATTCCAGATCACCTGGGAGTTCTCCGGGCGGGGAAGGGGGAGACCTTGAGGTCAGCAACTCCTCGAGATATGGGCACTGCTCGGCAGGCGGGCTCCCCACGAGGTTCTCCGGTGTGCTCGGTGCTCAGCCACTCTCCCCGCGTCTTTGCTTTATTTCCAAAGTTCACCTCTGGTTTGGGAAAAGTCTTCTATTTGGGCTTGACTGGGACGTTTAAAGTACACACATATATGAGGTCACCAAACACTTTAAAAACAAAACAAAACTACGAACCACTCTTGGACCAAGTAATCCCCACCCCATCGCCCCCTAAAAAGAAAACAGTTAATAAAAAATCGGGGCGGATTTGAATATGCCTTGGAGGCCCCGCCCTGCGCAGTGAAGGAGCCACGCGGCTGGCCTTGGTCCCGGCCCCGCGCGGGAGCTGGAAACCGGCCGGGTAGGGGGCGCGGGAGTTCTGGACTGGCTTTCCAGCGCTGGACCCGGTGGGCGGACAGACCGCAGGACGGCGCGCCGGGTGCCCTCGGGGAGCATCGAGAGCCGGCAGGAGGCTGAGAGGACAACCCGGCTGCAACGAATTCGCGCGCTCCGAACGAAGGCAGCTCGACCGGGTGCTCCAAACCTTTCCGGACCCTAGCCCAGAACCTCGGGCGTTCCGCCGATCTCCATCTCCCGGCCCTGGGGGGAAGCCGCTGGTAGAAAGTAGCTGGAGTGGGAATGGCCGTCCAGGGAGCACAAACGGGAAGAAGCGGGTGTGCGCACCAGCACACACAGACACACACTCCTATAACTCAACAGCCGCGGTACACACTCCGTGGGCTACCACGCCACACCCTCAGCACACACACACAACCACACAGGTACACGCACGTTACTGTGTGGTTACTGGTTTCACTTTCTGACTCCCGGACTAGCCCCTTTTGAGATCCTGAATGTTTTTCTTTCACAAGAAAACGGTAGTTCTAGTCCCTGCATCCTAGCCTGGGCCGCGGGGTCGGGGAGAAGGAGAATAGCTTTACCTCTGCTAGGCCGGGCCTGGGAAAATGAGGGGGAATGTTGCCTTGGGGAGGCTAGCGGGACCAACACGCGGGCGCACCCCCAAATGGGAGAAATAATCACAAGTACAACCTGCACCCCTCCTGCAACCAAACCCGGCAGCCTTTCCCCATGTGTACCACCGCGTGGGGCTCCGGGGCGTCAGGCCTGGAGTAGGGGGAGGGTGGACAAGGAGGGAGGGTGAGAGACAGCTCAGTCCCTCCCCTGCTCTTCCCTTCTCTTCCAAACCCTCCCCCACCAGGCTCAGCTAAGGGGGGCTGGGGGCG